CTCTCTCTCTCTCTCTCTCTCTCTCTCACACACACACACACACTTACTCACTCACTCACTTATCTATAAATCTTAGAAAATTAAACTAATCCTGAACAGATGGACATTCTAGCTGGTCATGGTACATTACTTACCACAAAATATGGCCAAGTGTCATTTTTGAATTGGGCTCCAACGCTTCCAACATGTGTCCGATAGCATCCCATTTAATAGCCTTAGTCTCGCACATGTACCGATTGACGCCCTTTATCACTTTGATGGCATCGACCCTGTCCATTTTGCATAGAATCATACACCGCTCGTAGAACTCGGGCTTAGCCGCGGCCATTAAAATCTCGCGCACCGCCGGCTTTAACGTCACGTCAATGTTTATTTTAGCTTGCAACTCGATCGCACTAGGTACAATTTAGTTTATAATGTAACGTGTTATTAAAATTAATTGTAATTTGATACATTGCAACCTCTTAATAGGAAATTAATTTTTTAAAAATTGAATAAATTTACAAACTTTTGCATTACAACTTACATAACTAATTATAATAAAATTATAAATAATACTTACAATTTATTTGAGGATTCTTTTATATAACTGAACTTAGTGCAATAGGCAGTGATGGCTTCGGTGGTATCCGGTAGAGGTTTACTTGTACCAAATATCTCCCAGTTTTCAAACAAATCAATCAACCATTTTTGATTTTCGATACTAGCGTTGCACATAGTACCTAGGGTAATAATAATCATCTGTAGTTTGTTTATATTTGATACATTATTAGAATATAGTGAGAGTATATTTAAATTTTTAATGTGTGTTATATAAAGGTTATATGTATGTTCATTATTGTAAGGTATTAACATTTTTAGCGTAATAATTGTAACTTTTTTTAATTATATTATGTTTATACAAAAATTATCAAGTAATCATGATAAAAAGTATACTTACAAGCCAATGCCAACACAATAAATATTCTTATCATGTTTTTAAAATGTCGATTGTTTTGCTACGATTTATTCAATGTGTTAAATAATTTAATTAATATTTAATTAAACATCTATTAAAATAAATTACGTATAGTGTTTTTTGTAATTATTTAATTACGATTATATTTAACGTAAAACATTTCGTGGAATTACTAATGCTATCTATTATTAACATTTTATATTAAAATACTGGTCTTTCATAAAATAGCTCATAAATTTTCAGAGAATAAGAATTAACTATATATTGAAATATAGAATATTTATTTTATGCAATTTATGCATTTATTATATTGATCAGTTTATGTTAACATCAACCAGTTAAAATAGTAGCTATTTTGTTTTTAGTATTTGTCATTCTAATATTAAAAATATAATTAAATATTTATATTAACTTTATTAGCAAAAGTAGTTTTGCTAATTTAATTTTACTTTTTTCAAATGCACATATTTTTATAAATATTGGGTCACTTGATATATCTTAGTCTTCGTATAGATTTAATAGAGATATTTTAACGAAATTAATTTTATAATTTAAGTCAACATTCCTAGGCACCAGAAACCAAGTTTCACGAAGATCGGGTGATTAGCCTTTATACAGTAAATTTTTAAACGAAGTCAGGCAAAATAATGTAATCCTATGGGAAGGTGTCTATTTTTGGGATTTTTACGATTAAAATCGCATGTTAATTAATCATGCTCAAACATTAATAGAGATACTAGAAAATCCCTACTCTTCCTATATCGTCAATATCTAATGTATATAATCATATCATATTTATTGGCCAACTCTGACCGATGCCTAAACTGTGGCCACTTAATTATCGGTAGTCGACACGATTGGCGGCCTGTGTTCGTTGTGTTCGCATTTTATTCCCGTTATAAGTAATGTGAGTAATAACTGCTCTAAACTGTTGTCGGATAACCAATAGTGAACCCCAATAACCAAATAATAACTCCAAACATATCTATCATAAAAATATTTTCAATCTAAAAATATGCTTATTTTTGGTAAAATATTTTCGCCTAAATTTCAAAGAATAATTCCGACTGACACATTTTAAAAATTTCCAGTATAAAGGCCAATAATCTGATCTTTATGAAACTTGGTTTCTGGTGCCTAGGAATGTTAACTTAAATTATAAAATTAATTTCGTTATCCTAGCTACACTAGAAGTACCTAAGGACTAAGATATAAAGGCCTTCAAAATCTTCCGGTTGTGTTTCTTGGTCGATTCCTCTGGAACTGTTGGAGTGACAATATTGAAACTTCACACATATATAGAACCACGTCGGGCAATTTTTTTGACATATAATTTTTTTATGATCACTTGACTATTTATTGAACAAATGGATGATTTGCGAGACCCTTATTCACAGCCTACTGTGTTTGTAGTAGGGAGGGGTGGGGGTTAGGGTTGCATAAAGCTAATGTCGAAGTGTTATAATAACCAAGAACCACCATTATTGGATTGCACGTTTTTACATGGCAAGTGAACAAAGTAAGCCAATTTCCCCATGTTAACCTATGGGGACGACAAATAATTTTATATTTCAATATANTGAACAAAGTAAGCCAATTTCCCCATGTTAACCTATGGGGACGACAAATAATTTTATATTTCAATATAATTGATTATATTTTTAAAAACTACATTCAATGCTGATAATGTTAGTAAAAAAAACTTTTGAAAAATTTTATTCCAAAGACAAAATAACTTATATTGAAATATTGAAAATATCGAGAATTTTTGTGTTTTTATGGCTAAAACTGAATTTTTCAATTTAAGTTATTTTGTCTTTGGAATGAAATTTTTAAAAAAAATTTTTTACTAACATTATCAGCATTGAATGTAGTTTTTAAAAATATAATCAATTATATTGAAATATAAAATCATTTGTCGTCCCCATAGGTTAACATGGGGAAATTGGCTTACTTTGTTCACTTGCCATGTAAAAACGTGCAATCCAATAATGGTGGTTCTTGGTTATTATAACACTTCAGTAGAAGAGCACCGATTGAAGCACGCGCATGGGCAGTAGGGATCTCTAACCAAGAGTCGATGACGGGAGGGGGAGGGAAGGGGGGTAACAACAGTGTAAATAATTAATACATTTTTATTTAATTTTAAATTCAAATAATTTTATTTATTAATATTTTTCAAATGATTTAAAAGAGTAAATTCATTACAAAAAGTTTATAAATAAAATTATTAAGTTTTCAAATCCAGAGTCGTCTTCATAGCCAACCATTAAAGCCATACCCGAGTCATCCATATACCAGAGTGTGACTGTGTCGACATTTTCTTCAATGTTGTCGGCATTTCCCATTCCTGGTTGGAAATTATCTGTCCACCAGTGCCGTGGATGAACTTCTATGAGATCATCTGGATCTACGGGAAGCGAATCTTCGGGAACATAATAGTCCATAACTTGCCGAGGTCTAAGTCTATCAGCTATAGTGGATAGCCTATCAGCTATAGCTATCAGCCCTTCCTGTAGTGGAGTGGACTGTTGTAATGGTGGTTCATTGAAGCCATCCATGTACGAGTCAGTGAACTCTGGGCTTATAGCTCTCACTATAGGCTCAGAGTCGTCCATCTTTGCGCGCTTAGCACTACCAACGCTATCGTCGTCAGAGTCGCTCAAATAGTGCATTTTAGGCTTACTTTTTAGAGCGCCAACGATATTGCCGTAGAATCTGCGCTTTGAAGGTCCAGCAATCGGTATGTTGACCTCTGCTGGTAATGGAGTGGTCGCTGCCGGTGCTGGAGTAGTCGCTGCCGGTGCTGGAGTAGTCACTGCCGGTGATGGATTAGCCGCTGCCGGTGATGGAGTAGTGGCTGCCGGTGATGGAGTACTCGCTGCCAGTGATGGAGTAGTCGTTGCCTGGGATGGAGTAGTTGCTGCCGGTGATGGAGTGGTCACTGTCGGTGATGGAGTGGTCACTGCCCGTGATGGAGTACTCGCTGCTTGTGATGAAGAAATCACTTCAATCACTTCAATGTCGGGTGTTTGAAGTGAAAGCATGCGTTGATACCATTTATCCAAGAAGAAAATGGCCGAAGGATTATTGCCGGTCGGTTCGGTGATGGGTTGCGGCTGGTCAACTTGTGGTGTCGTGTCCATAGGCTCAGCAGAAGAATCACTCGAAGAATCACTTAACAAAATCATTGGTTTTCGAGCCATTTTAATTATAATTAAATTAAAAAGTAAATTTAAACACAAATACTGTTTTGAACTGTACTGAACAAAGACTGAACAAAGAATGGTAAAAATGGCATAAAAACTACTATAGGGCTATTGCGCACGCATTCAAAAAGACATGACTGCGCGTACGCATATGAAAATACATAGTGACGGCAGCCATTTATATAAAAAGAGCCATGGGAGGTGGGCGTTTTTGAATAAGTGGGCGTGTAGGGGGCGTTCCCACAACAGTGGCGCGCGCGACAGCGCAAACATCGCGAGCGAAGCGAGCGATGTTTGCGCTGTCGCGCGCGATGCGAGCGAAGCGAGCATACATTTTGGTTGTGTACTACAAGGCTACACGCAACGTAGGCGCCTTCGGCGCCAAGATGGTGTTATGAGTAGTCGCTGCCTATGATGGAGTAGTCGCTGCCCATGATGGAGTAGTCACTGCCGGTGATGGAGTAGTCGTTGCCGGTGATGGAGTAGTCGCTGCCGGTGATGGAGTAGTCGCTGCCGGTGATGGAGTAGTCGCTGCCGGTGATGGAG